GGGTGACGGGGAAGAAGAGATGAGGAAAAGTAGAGAAAGAAAGGAGATGAGACACGTGGAGCTAGAGAATGGTATTAGTAGTTGGTTATAGTGATAGGTGATGATGTCAAATTTTAAAAAATATTTCAAAAATTTTGAATTCTAAAAATATCTTAAAATATATCTCAAAAACACTGCACATACATTCCTACGTTAAAGTTAAAATTAGTAAAATTTAAAAACACTCCAAAAATAGCTCATCAATTGCTATTTCCGAGGTCAATACAGGTGTGGCCAATGTTCAGGGAGGGTATATCGGCCATTCTATTGGACAAGCAAAGGCATTTTAAACTTTTTCAATCCAAAACTCCATTTTAAGGGGGCAAAAAAATAAAAATTTTGTACTAGTACTAAACCCTAAGCCGCTACTGCGTAAAGTGTCCAGTTTTGGCGGATTCAAATCGATTCAGGTGGCCGGTGGCCTTTGTAATTTGCAGGCTACTTCAAGAGTACTACGGCCATGAGAAGAAGCTTTTCAAAGTTCTCCTATCCCTCCACCACAACCAGACCCTCCTTCATTTCCTCTTCCTCTACTTCCCCTTTCTCCACCTCCTCCGGCGCAGTAGGAGGAGGAGGAGGCAGAGGCCGTGGTCGCGGTTCTATTTCCCCCAAATTCCAATTCACAAAAGAGGACCACACTCCCAAACCCTCCGAGAATTCTTCCGTTGCAGGGTTTGGTCATGGGCAAGGCGGTGGACGAGGAGGAGGCTCCGGTAAACCTCTGCCTTCTTCCCTCCCTCCCTTCACTTCCTTCGTTGATAAAACTGCTGTCCCCGTCCCCGGCCGGGGCCAAGGCCGAGGCCGAGGGATTGGAGCAGGCTTGGGCGCCGGTCACGTTACTCCACCAACACCTGCGCCAGCTCAACCCTCTGATCCCAGCAGAAAACCCATTTTCTCATCCAAAGATGGAGGGGTAGCCCCCCATGATTCCCATTTGCCTCCGCCTACCCAATCCCCGACCGTTCCCCGAAACCCTGAGGATACCCATCTTCCTTCCAGCATCTTGACAATTCTGTCAGGTGCCGGCCGAGGGAAGGCCCCGAGATCCCCCTCACCTGTCCCCGATAAGCCTATTGAAGAAAACCGTCACATCCGGGCTCGGCAGCAGCCTCCCGGGGCCACTAGAGAAGACAGTAGCACCAATAGCGCTGCCACCTCGGCCCAGCGGTTGAGTCCGGAGGAGGCTGCCAAGAAGGCTGTTGGAATATTGTCCGGAGGAAGAGGAGATGCTGGGCGCGATGAGGGTGCTAGGGGTGGAAGGGGAGGAGGAGGTTTTAGGGGCAGAGGTGGGCGAGGAGGCAGAGGATTGCAGGCTTGGAGAGGCCGAGGAGGAGGAGGACCAGGGGGACAAGGAGACAGGGGGGCTCGTTTTGAGGATGCTGGTTTTGAGGATACTGGTTATGAGGATACTGATGACGACGATTCTGCTGCTGGGCTTTACCTTGGCGACGACGCAGATGGTGACAAATTGACTCAGAGGCTTGGACCTGATATCATGGATCAGTTATCTGAAGGCTTTGAGGAGATGTCTAGCAGAGTGTTGCCTTCTCCTGAAGACGATGCTTACCTGGATGCTCTCCACACTAACTTACTGGTAAATTATTTTAAGGACACCTACTTGATGTAATTTCTCAATGCCTAGGAGCTGATTGCAGTCACAACTCAATCCTTTCCTCCAATAACTTACAGATAGAGTGTGAACCGGAGTATATTATGGGAAACTTTGACATCAATCCAGACATTGATGAGAAACCTCCTATCCCTCTTAGGGACGCTCTTGAGAAGATGAAGCCATTCTTGATGGCGTATGAAGGAATTCAAAGTCAGCAAGAGTGGGAGGTACAACAGCAAATTATTCCTTTATTTTCTGGCTATCAGCCTCATGGAATCTTTTTGGTATTTTAACAATTGTTGAACTCTCTTTAAATGTTGAATCCTGACTGGAATCAACCCGCCCTCTTTACAAGTGTGTCAACTGAACGATTGGGCTAATATCTTGCACCAAGACTGAGTGTATGTATATAGACACACACACACACACACACACTTTTTCTGCACCAAGCTATTTCATGAATACCTATAAAATATAACTGATTCACCAAAATAAAATGGGAATCCTGAACTGAACAATTTATTTTCCTTACCTGAACTGAACAATTTATTTTCCTTTCTTATTTTTACTGGATTTGTACATTTTGATTGATCCATGAAGAGAATTTGTTATTGCCTGATAGCTATGTTCTTGTGGCCATTTGGTTCGCTCATCCCTGTAATTGGCTGGAATAAACATTCAGCAGACATGTTCACCCAAACTGTGTATGAGCTAGGGTCATGACTTGTACTTGGAGAGTTGGAGGTCTATGGTGGTGTTCATCTTGTATGATTCTGAATGCGAAAAGTTATAAAGTTTCATCTTTTGGAGTTGCTTGATTCTGTTTGTCTTACATTAATTTCTTTAACTGGTTTATATACCAATTACTACTTGAGAAAGTCGTGTTAGTTTTTTGGGCATGTATTTCGTGTATCATTTTATGCATGTATCGAAGTAGTTCTCTTTCCCAATATTATATTTGCATTTGTTGTACGGGTAAGTATAATCTTAGTTTGAGGTTAGTTGGTCTTTTGCCATCGTTCATTTGTTATATTTTGCTGAAAATTAACCAGTGAGAATATTATGGGTTCACATGTAAAGCTAAAGCGCAGATAAGTTGACCTCTAATGAGGTAGGGTAAAGATAAGGCACATAACAGATGCACTAAGAACTCCCAAATTCACCAAATAGGTCCCAAAAAAAAGGTTGAGATTTTACGTTACAATTGATGACTTTATCCTTTGTATCTTACCTTTTCTACAGCCTTTTCTCCTCTCCATTCACAACTTGCTTTTTGTTGAACGGTAGGATCTCAAAGTGATTTTGTTATTTCATTTTGCCTCTTGTTTTCTATGTGAGATCTGCTTTCATTTTTTGGTTTGATTGGTTTGATTTTCCTTTAAACAAGATGAGCTGTTTTCTCTCCTCTCTTATCTGCCCACTCTCATTTCTTTTCACTTTTCTCTTCTTTGACAGGAAGCTGTGGAAGAAACAATGAAGAAGGTCCCACTTCTAAAAGAAATTGTTGACTATTACAGTGGACCCGATAGAGTAACTGCAAAGCAACAACAAGAAGAGATAGAAAGAGTGGCGAAAGCGCTTCCAGAAAGTGTACCTGCTTCAGTAAAGCGATTCACAAATCGTGCCGTTCTCTCTCTGCAGGTTTTTTTTTTTCGTTGACATTATTTTTTTTTTTACCAAAATGAAAAATGATATTTCACTAATTATTTCCTGTTGATAGTTCGTCTTACTAAATATGATGAAATTTGTAGTTTCCATAGTAAACTAACATGCATAATTGATTTTAACATTTTGCAACCGTTGTTTTGTGTGGTACGTGTCATGCATTAGAGTTCAAACTTCATTCTTTGTATCTTAAGGACAGAATCTCTTACTTGGACTGTACATGATAGGGTGTAGTATAAAATGTTTTTGTTTTTAAGCTAAGGTAATTCCAATATGTATGTCTGCTTCTCCAGTGTATGTACATCTTCTTATCTGTCCACCTGCTTTTCCATATTCCCTAGCAGCATGTAATTCCAATAGCCATCCTTGGACATGATGATGAATTAAAAACATATCATCATTTATTTCCTATTTGATGGAAACATATTCCTCTCCATTAATTAGAAAAATGAACCAAACAGGGGTTTTCAGAGTTTGGACTAAGTTTACTTTTGAAGTACTGATTCCTTGCTTATGTTACGAGGCTTATGGGAACTTTTGAATAGTTAACTGAGTTATTATATCCTTTCATCTTGAAAGATTCAATCTTCTGGTGTTCATGAGCATTAGATTATCATAGGATTATGGCCAACATGCAGTCCCTGGATGTTTACTTCATAATTTCTGTTCCTGATTCTCTTTGCCATTTGGGCTGAATTTTAAAGTTGGTAACTGGACATTTTGCAGAGTAACCCAGGTTGGGGATTTGATAAGAAATGCCAATTCATGGACAAGCTTGTGTCAGAAATTTCCCAACACTATAAATAATCATGGTATGGCTCACCATGTTAAATATATTACCTCTGAAACTTCTAGGCAGTCCGGGGAGGGATCTCAACTAGCTAGTATTAGATGAGATTCAGGTTTTTCTATTGTTGGTTAAGTGCTTCTACTTTAGCCTGTTTTAATTTGTTCTTGCAATTTTCTTCGTTAGTAAACAATTTGATATTTCAGTTTGGCATTTTTGTTGCTTCGGCGGCTCAATCAGTTTGTTGCTTTAGACATGGTTATGTGGATGGGCCAAAAGTGATGGGTTTAAACTAGCGAGCCATCAAATGATAATACTAGTACTATCTCGGTTCTCATAGAACTTGGTCTTAACTTGTGTTGGTTTGGCCATCACAAACTCCATAGTGTATATGAGGATTCTGATGCCTCAGTTGAGAAGTTTGGGGAATTAATTGGCCAGATGAGGGGCTTTGAAGGTTGAAGTCATTTTGTGGTGCTAGCCTTCCAAGATGGTCTAAATGATGAGATCAAAAATGCATGCATCGCTCACCCATTACAGATTTCAGCTTCTTCAGCAGGACTTGGAAGTACCGTAAGTATTATGTTCATCTAATTTGTGCGCTGGATATTTTTTCCACAGCTGCTTACGTGTTCGTTGTCTATAATTCATTTTGTCCATGTGGAAGTATATTACTAGTAATAATAATAATTCATTGCAGTTGGCTACTTGGCTGACTCTGGTAATTTTTGTCTGCAATTCCTTTTGTGCGGAAGTATATACTGGAAATGGCCTGTGTATTTTGGTACCAGCTTATAACATTAGCAAGCTGATTGGATCTCCAGCTTTCCTACATTTGTAGATCAAACAAACGTTGCATTACTTACATAGTATGTTGTCTTGTTTTGCCCGCTGCGGAGATAATCGGTGCGAGGGGCAGGAGTCTTAACGTTGGACAAACAGATATCGGCAGCTTGCATGTTGAGAACCAATGTGCAAATGATGTTTTTAACTTTGAAGCTTCCCTTAGATTTGAATTAGGAGGGAAATAGAAACAGCATAGCAAGACCCAAGCAATTTGAAAGCTATTAGAACTCTGCCACAGTCTAGATGTTGCCATAACGAGTTCACTCCACGTTGATGTAGTGCAGAATTTACTTATAATTTTTACATTGGCTACAGTGGAGCTTTAAGAAATAACCATAAGAAGCTTGGCCATTTCCAATTAATTCAATACCTTCAGCAACATACGTGCGACTTCAATTAATGCTCGCTTGTTCCACTCAAGTCAGGGCTGATCCAACCGCTGATGATGCCGACTCCATACTGATTCCCCTCTCCCTCTGATTTGCCTTCCGCCGCCGGCTTCCACGCAGCAAGTAATTGAGTTGTGACTTTTTAACCTTCTCGCCGTTCACCTTAATATCTACTGTGAGTACCATGCTTTTATTTACCGACAAAAGAGCTGTTGGACGATCCCAGTTGATAGCGTAATTCTACTGTCTTTCCAAAGACATGCCAAAGGAAAACGAGTCTTCACCAAAGAACTCATTATTATTGTCATTGGGAGGTTAATGTGCCCCCCTAACGCACATATAATCAGCTACATGACTTTGACTTCTGTCTTACTTGTACTTTAAGACTGAGTAGATGCAGAAAAAAAAGAAGAAGAAGAAACTAGTTGGAAGTGGGCTCAGAAAAGCAGGTGCGCGTTTACAAATGAAATAAAGGGAGAAAGAAGAATGCGAATAAAGCAAGGGAACAAAGCCAAGGCAGCCCTTCCAGGAAACGTATATAAAAAGAAATACGACTACTGTCTATTATTACCAACTACTAGTACTACTTACTTACTGATGAGTGTTTTACTCGTTTGACCAAAAAAAAAAAAAAAGTACTGTAGTGTTTTACTCGCTGGCGTCATCACTCATCATCGACTACAAACCTACATGCGTAGCTGGTGCAGTAATAAGAATTACTGCAGTAAGAATTAGTAAGCCAAAAGTAATATTAGACTTCAGGATCGGGTAGCCCGTCTATTCTGTACCGTCTCTCGCTCGCCGGTCGCTACTATTCCAATTTACACGTAGCATTCATACTTCTTCCTTCGCCTGATCAGTCATTTAAAAGTCCGCATTGGTATTATCCAATAAAAGTAGTACAGAACGATGGCATCCTGCAGAGCTGCTCGCAGAAATCAGAGGTGGTGCACCACCCAACCTCTGACCCCTCTCATGGAAGGCCCCGATCTCGAAATGCACCACCACCACTGCCAGTCTGGAAATAAGAAAGAGACCACCTCCTCCTGGGAAGTGATTCGGGAATGGTTTAGAGCACAGAGGAGCTTGGCAGCCGACCCTGCAGGAGGAGGAGGGGGCAGCAGGAGCTTCTCCATGTCCTCAGCATACCCTGCCGGCCCAGGCTCAGCGCCGCCCAATATTAATGCGGCCAAGAGGCAAGACTTGAAGCTTTTGCTCGGGGTCTTGGCTTGCCCACTTGGCCCCATTCCTCTGCCCATCAACAATAATGAAAACGGCAACAACAACAACAACTACCACTCCTACTACGGTCATCAGAACACCAATCCAATTCTTCATCCTTACAATCCTACCATCATCAAAGACATTCCCATTGTACGTACGCAAGGTTTAATTAATGAGAGAATGAGAGGGAGAGGCGTCTACTGTGATGTTACTTCTTCTACTGCGGACTTTATTAATTAAACTGTGATGTTGCTTTACTTCTAGTACGGACGCGGTAGATGCAATTCTTATACTCCTAGTACGTACTAATAATAATATACAGGAGACCTCTACTGCGCATTACATTATTCAACAATACTTGGCCGCGACGGGATGCTCCTCGAAATCCAAGCAGCAGCAGCAACAACAACAGAAAGTCCCCAGAAACATGTACACGGCCGGCACGGTGAAGATGATGTGCTTCCCGACAGAGATTTCGGGAGGAGGAACAGTGAAGACACTGGGAACGAGGAGTAGCGGGGAGAAGGGATGCTTCGTGCTGTGGCAGATGTCGCCGGGAATGTGGTCGCTGGAGCTGGTGGTTGGGGGTAACAAGGTCCTGGCCGGCAGCGATTCCAAGATCGTGTGGAGGCATACACCCTGGCTGGGCACCCACGCGGCCAAAGGCCCTCAACGTCCCTTACGTCGCATTATCCAGGTCCGTCCGTCCATCTCTGTTATCTACTACTATACTTCCATACATACAGTCTCTAGTCTCTACCCGTGCCAAGCACACACACAGTACACTTCTACTGTCTCCACCTCTCCACCAATGGTAACCCCGCCAGAAAGCCTAGGCCTGTTTGGCAAACGAGTATTTCATGTATTTGTCTAAACCTTTACTATGACGTACGTAGGATTTGTAGAAAAAAATTTTAAGATGAAAAACATTTTTTCTTTTCTTTTTCCTTTTCTTTCCTCTCTTCTTCGTCACCCTTTCCTCTCTCCTGCCATTCTTATATATATATAAATATAATTTCTCTCTCCCTCTCCCTCTCCCTCCTCATCCCTTGGCGTGATTTGGTCGCGTGACCAGATTGTGCTGGGGAGAGGGGGACGGTGGCAGGGGAGAGGGAAGAAGGAGGAAGGCGAGAGGAAGAGAAATAAAGAAAAAAAAAAAGAGGTGGTTGTTGGCGTCGGTCGGTCTTGGATGGTGGCAAAAGTGGTGGTGGGTTAAGGTAGGAGAGGAAGAAGAAGAAAGGAAGAAGAGAAATTCAATTTTTTTTTTGCATGTTTTTGAATATTTTGAAAGTCGTGTAATTTAAAATTTTGAGAATTTTTTTGAAATTATTATAACTAAAGTTATTAAAAATTTTGTAAAAAAAACTTGTCAAAAAACTGACTTCCAAACGGGGCCCTAGTTTCCTGCTTGCTCATGGATTTAGAAATTTGCCAAAGGCAAGCTGGCAGCCTCGTATATTTTAATGCTACCTAAAATTGAATTCCTTAGATATTTAACCACCGCAATTTGTTTTTAAATTTCATATCGTTAACTTTTGTTTGTTTGAATAAATAACTCCATAATTCTGGTTGGGGAGCTGGGCCGGGCTGGAGTGGGGATTAGTCGGGCCGCCTTTACGGACTTGACCCGGACACCCCACTCCGTCGAAAAAAAAAAAAAGAATAAATAACTCCATAAAAATTTCATATATGCACATAGTTTGATTTCCCCATGTACATGACGCTAAGTTGGCCATAACAAAGAGTACTTGCATATATGGAGTAGGGAGTAGGGTGTAGGTAGTAGTGTATAATTTCAGAAACCTTTTTGACAATTTCACTGAATTTTCCTAAGGTTTGAAAAATTACACCCGTCTCCTTTGATTTGATAGTTTTAGTAACAAAATCTTAAAATACTATTGATTTGATCAAATTTTTAAATAAATACTCAAAAATGCCCTTGTGCAATGAGTTTTAATTTATTTTTCTATATAATTATAAGATTATTTAGTATAATTATAAGAAAAGGATGCCAAAATTTTTATATCTGTGCCTACTATTTGATAAACAACTATAATAATAATGTTATTATTATGATAGGATATTTGTGATGGTATTTTATTATGGATTTAGATTTATAAGATAGAAAAGAAAATGTTGAAATAATTCATTTATAATTTATAAATTTTTCGAGTAGTGGAATTATCATAATTTAGTAGTAATTTTGGGCTATTTTTTATTTATTGTTAATTTTAATACCAAAGAATATAAAACAAAGATCAGCAAAAACATTGGATTACATATAAGTTACCTCATCAAAAATATCATTAGTTCAACGTTTGGTTACAATAGAAACTAGAAATAACAGTGATGATTTTACAGTTTTATTGGCAAAAAATTTTAAAAAAAGTGGAATAAGATGGAAAAATAATGAAAAATAATTTTAAAAGTCATTCTAAATATAAGCATACTACACATGGAAATTTCATTAAAATATTTAAGGGTATTATTATCATTTTAAATGATAAAGGAGGTATGCGTAATTTTTAAAAACTCAAGGGAGCTAAATGAAATTATTAAAAAAACCTCAAGAGGTTTCTGAAACACTCTTTTCTTGTATTATACGCCGGTTCGTTGTAAGTGCAAGTTGAACCAGCAGTATCACCCAAAAAGAAAAAAGAAAAGGAAAAGCAAAATATGTACTGCGTGGGAGAGCACTGTATCAGTTAATTACCGGAAGAGCAAAGCATGAAAATCAATTCTACAATATATATATATATATATATATATATATAGTTTGTGTAAATTGAGTGAGCAGGATTTTTATTAAAACTAGAGAGAGCTGGGGATGGGTGAGGCAATGGTGAGGCAATAGAGAGAGAGAGAGAAAGAGAGAGAGTAGGAGGAGGAACAAGGAACAAGACGGGAGATGCCCGGCGCTTTTGCTTGCTTTTGATCCTTTCTTTATAGAAGTAAGTAAAAGTGGTAAAGACTACCCTCACACCCTTCACCGCTCCCAAGAAGAAGAAGAAGAAGAAGCAGCAGAACAGAGGGAGTTCGCGGCAAAAACTTGTGTAGACCAGGTTTACGGCCCCACACATAGACCAAGTGATCCAAAACATGCCATGTTGTCATAGCAGAATTTTATTAGTTAAAATTCTTTCGGCCCCCACGAAGCATTGCTACTGTAGTCAAATCTGCTGGGGGTTAGCACTACTTCCATCGAACGTAGGATGTATTGCTTCCACATTTTCCAATCCGATTCGAACAAAATTAATCAACAAACCGTAGAATAGATGATACAAATGGTGTATACTTAAAAAAAAAAAAAAAAAAAGAGGATAAGATGGTACAAATGGTTTAGACTAACCTGCCGTCGTGTGTACAAAGGGGATCCGGATCCTTTGCCCGACCCAACTCCCCATTTCCCCAGTCCAATCCACTGCCATTTTTTTTTTTTTATTTGTATGAATTACCATTCTTTCATTCTCCTTCCCACTCTCCCGTATGTCCATTTCCACATTTTGGACTCCGAATCTCAGTTGTGCAGTAATTTGCACTACAGCTAATACTTGGTTCGCTTGCATCAAACATTCCCTTCGGCCCTTGCACGCCTGTCTACTGCTACCACTGCGGACCCTACTAAAGCTTTGGCCTTTGTTGGGCTGGCCCTACCCGGCTGTCGTTTCTTGACCATCCGCTTCTCCGCACACTTTGTTCTCCCATTTTAGACAGGGTATATTTTTGGGTGTAAGTGAGATTCGAATCTCACTTACAATAATAAAAATTTAGAAGAAGTATCAGAGTATTCTTTTGATCTAATCAGATCTGTATATTTGTTAGCTCCTTATGCATTTTCTTTAGACCCCCTTCTCTATAAAAAATGATAGATTAGATAATGCATATGTTATCGTTGCCAGAAAAAAAAAGAAGATATCCTATTGAATTTATATAAATGAAAACTGTTTTGGAATTTATTAAAAAAAAACCTAGATTAGTCAGTTAGATGTAGTATACTATTTTATTATTGTTACATAATATAATGACTCACATTTATTATATATTACTATATATACGAAATTGAAATTGAAATTGAATTAGGTAGTTGAATTCCGATTTCGATTTGAGAATTCGAAATCATAATTTCTGCTTTTAAGAATCATGGTCCTGAATTCAAACTAATTTTGCCACTCTTGAATACGAAAACTCTAAATTCCTTAATTCGGTTGGCAAAATTGGAATTTTTTGGATTTGTACACACCTAGGTGGACTCATCCGTTAGTATTCCTTAATTTTTTGGGGTTTTAGTACAACCGTATCAGTAATAGTACAACCGTTTTTTTCCCAACTTTACTGTGCATCTATGCAGTGACAGTTAGCCAATAAAGTGCCTCTTACATTTTAAGCTACAGGTTCGCATGTCTTTGCCTTAATTATGGTTTTCTGTCTTCTGCTTCACTTCAGTACATTTTCTACAAAATTTATACCTTATAATAATTGTATTAAATATATTACTCTCACACAAGCATTTAACTTAACTTGTACTGCCTTGTCAGAACCAGTACCTAGTGGAGATCCCAAAAAATTTCAGTATTCAAAGCCCATGTCAAATATGGAGTTGATTCTTTGAAAAAGTTTCACCAGTGCTTGAATGAAGATGTAATAGTAGCTTTCATATTGGATTGCAGGGGTTGGACCCAAAGAGCACGGCGAGTTTGTTTGCCGGCAAAGCACGGTGCTTAGGAGAGAAACGAATTGGAGATGAAGATTGCTTCGTGTTAAAAGTGGCAGCAGATCGGGCGACGGTGATGGAAAGGAACGAGGGTCCTGCAGAAGTGATCAGGCACGTCTTGTACGGCTACTTCAGCCAAAAGAGTGGGCTTCTCATATATCTAGAGGACTCCCACCTGACCAGAGTTTTAGTACAGCGGGAGGAGGAAGAGGATGAGCAGCAGCCGGCAGGTGGGCGCCGCGAAAATGGAAGTGATCATCCTTCGGTTTCGGGTGCTGTTTACTGGGAGACAACCATTGGGAGCAGCATCGGAGACTACAGGGACGTCGACGGCCTCCTCATTGCCCATCAAGGCAGGACCGTTGCCACTGTATTCCGTTTCGGAGAGGTATCCACACAGCATTGTAGGACGACCATGGAAGAGACCTGGGCCATCCACGACGTCGTTTTTGACGTCCCGGGGCTTTCACCCGACTCCTTCATCCCTCCTGCCGATGTATGGGATGATAGCACACATTATTCACCGCATTAATAGTAATTTTTTGCCGTGAAAATGCATTTTCCTTTCCTGAATATAAATGGTCATGATTTGTCCGTAACTTTTTTAACTAACTCACAGTCACAGCAGCTGCAAGTTCGCTGCAATTATATATCCTTTCCCAATCCCACGCACCTATAGAGTATAATTTAATTTCCAAAAAAAAAAAAAAAGTGGAAAGGTTGTTTTAACTTCCTAACTGCATATTATAAAAAAAAAAAAAAAAATTCCATCCATTAACTGCGGTCGCTGAAAGAGTCAGCTTTAATTGTCCATCTAAATTAAAGACTATGTAGTAGTAGAAGAGAAGTTTCATCCATTAAAGACTATGTGCGTTTTGTTTTGAGAGACCTTTAAACTTTACTACTCTCTCTATATCTCTCTTACTTACTACAAGTCAGTGCTCTTCCCACTAAAAATAAAAAATATATATATACATAAAAGGAAGAAAGAAGTATGTATGCCTGTACGTACTTTCATGTTCCCCTTTTTCTGCATGCATGTCCATATATTATCGTTGGAGTTTGAAGCCTAAGTCGGCGGCATTCATGTAATTAATGTATCAGAAATCTGGGGTGGAGTGGCGGAGGAATAGAGAATAAAGTTGGGAGAATTTGTTTTGTTTTGCCTCCAGAAGAGAAGAATGTGACAGTTGACAGCAATCTTTGGATGCCCCCTGAGGCTGTGAGCTCTCCGGAAATCATAAAAGAAGCAAGAAAATAAGGCATCAAAGTAAGGTCCTCTTTGTCGGCTTCACTACTAATCTTCTTCCCTTGTAGTAAAGTTCTAAACCCCCACAAAAAAGGAGATCGAGATTGAGATTGAGATTGAGATTGAGAGATTGCTCTAAACTCTAAAGTACTACTAGTTCAATTACTCCAAAGCTTAATCCTCCCGCCAGAGAAAAGTTAAGCGACAGAGACACTTACTCATAATTACTTTTTTCGAGGTTACTATTAATTGTTGACTCGTTAGCGTACGTATTACCAAAGACAATCATTATTGACTGAAAAGGCCAAGTCATGATGATATGAATGATCCTTCCGTTTTTCTCAAATTCCAATGGATGTAATTGACGTCCTTAAAAGGCCTTAGTAATTACCATGCATGATTCCATCATCATCGTGGATATTATTCATATCAAACCTGGATTAACTACCTTCCTCAAAAGAAAAAGAAAGAGCTAGAAAAAGGTTTCCGCAACAATCAGAATATTATTGCTTCATTCAGGAACAAAACAACATAAAATGCAATAATGACTCTTCAAAACCATCATCTCAATTTTCATGCACGCACGACTATCTCTATCTATACCGTGTGATACATATTGACATGATACGACGACAAGCTAAGCTAAGTGGGCCGTGATATTTCATTGAAAGGGTAATAAATTTGCTAAAGATCGACTCACTCACTTTCATTCAAAATGTTTTTTTCAAAATCATTTTTTGTTTTTGGACACTAGATCCAAGATAAACATGCACAAATAAAACTCCAATTAATCAACTTAATTACTACTAACAGTGACACTACTGGTGTGGTGTGTTCTTATATATAGTATACAAATGTTAAAGAAGCTAGCCATGCATATATAAATTAAATTTGCTACTGACCTAAGCTTTTGGAAACCAAAACCGGAGATACATATATTCAGGATATGTTAAATCATGCTGCAATTAATGCGTAAATATATATATGGTCACCAAAATGAATTCACAGGTAATTAATTTGCGTGATTCTTTAATTAAGACCCGAAACCCTAAATATCCATCTTACCCCTAAATTCAAGACTCGTATGAAGCATCATTCATGCATATGCCAGATGTTGCTATATCTCTATGGTTAATATATCCGTCCTTACGATAGATCATCCGAACGGAGAGTTTCGTGCCTGGGACATGGCACCGGCAGCACCTGTACCAATCTGCACTGGATTCATCCTATGATCACTGGATGACGATGGAGGCGGAGTAGTTGCAGTAGTAGAGGCTCTTCGAGGAGAGGGCCTTTCGAGCTTCGAGGATGCATTCTTTTGATCAGTACCCCCCAATACCATACCGCCATCTGATCCACAACTACCGCTTATCAATGGCTTTGTCTCGTACATATTACTACAGGTACTGTCTGACATAGAATCAATCACGACGTCCACATTGCTTCTCTCGAGTGACAGTACTCCTGCTCCTCCAGGTGCATTATTCATCTGAATTTGGTGGTGGTGATCGCCTTTGAAAGGATCGTGATGATGATGATGGTCTTGGGAATTACCGAGACAGGATGCTGCTGCTGATCCTAGTTCTTGCAGGCGGAGATCGTGATGATGATGATGATGATGATCAGACCACATCAAGCTGGCGGGGCTCTTGCCGCTTCCTCCGCCATAAGGGCTAGGCGGCGTAGGCCTCTTCTTGCCCAGGTGGCACAGTTGGGTGTCGTTGTTGTTTGACATGAATCCGTCCAGCGACGGTGATCTGTCCACCACCATGCCGCCCTGTTGAAGTTCAAGTTGCTCACCTGATCCGTATATGTTGAGGTCTTGCAGAGATGGAAAACTGAGAGGGGGACCAAATTCCTTAATGTCCACCACTCCTCCCCCTGCTTGATTTCCACCCTTGTTATAGCTCCCTGCTGCTGCAGCAGAAGCCATATTTTCCCCCGCCAGTGTTTGACAAGCTTTCTCCAGAATAGTTTGCATGTACTTTCCTTGTGCCTCAATCCTCAACTGAAGGTGTCTTTGTACCTGCCCACATGCATGTTTCAACCTCAGTATTTCTTCAATCCCCGTGTATAGGAATATATTATATGACTAGCCTCCTGATTAATACCGACTTTCTTATTTACGTTTTTTTTTCCCTCTCCTCTCTCCCTCTCTCTCTCTCTTTTTCCTATAGTGATGAGGCAGGTAAGGAGGGGTTGGGTGGATTCAGATGGCCGGGTGCTCTCTCGGCCGGGCACATGTATAATAGAGTGCTGCGAGTCTATATATACAATATATACATACCTCTAACTGTTCATGAAGTCTTCTCTGCACTTCCATTTGCATCCTAATTGCATCAGTGATGCGAACATTACTGCCAGTGATCGAATCACAAATACCATGCATACATACAGTTTCACGAAGTAAAACCAACAGCTCATAAGACTAATTAGACCAACAATTACAAAGTTTTAATTCAAAAATTAGAAGCAAGATTTCTAGTTGTTCATCAGGCCCCGCAATTAACCAAAATTAAATACGATGTTAGAGACTAGTAGTGAAAGAAATTTTGATACTCTTCCAGACCAAAAAGTAGAATTTTTTTTTTTTCCAAAGGAGATAAATCACAATAAAGATAGGATAGAGCCAAACATAGCGAATTAGAAGAAAAAGAAAAGGGGGCAATTACTATAACATACTCGTTCATACTGCGACCAATCATCCCCGAAGATGAAGCGGAACTACTTCGTTGAAGTTCTAAAGTTGAAGCTGCCATCATTAATAATTAAGATCAACAACAGCAGAAAAGTTAAACACGTTTAATAGTATAGTTGTTGGGTTGGGGGGAAGCCCAGGTCGTGAACTACGGCTACAAGAACATGAAATATATATATATATATATATATATATATATATATATGAATTGGTGAATGATTCTACTATTGTATTGGGGCGATCCAATGAAGAGAATTAGCAATAGTCACCTCTCTCACCATCTTTTATCGGGTGATCACTGAACTCCTTGTGGGGCTGCTTTCCGAGCCTGAATTTCTAATCCAGAAGAGATTGGAAAGAGGAAAAGGAACAAAAGGTTAGAACAGATACAAGTTAGATGTGTTTCTGGAGGAAATCAAGTAAAGAAGTTGGGAAACATCTCATCATGTTTGAAGTAATTAAGAAACCTGAAGATGGCTCTTGAGATGATAAAGAGTGAGACCCTTGACTCCCATAACTCTCATGATTGTCTTTGGGGTGGCCTCTGCATGCGCACAGTATCAATTAAAGACAAGAACGACAAAATTAGGAAGATCAGAAATAAAAGTTTAAGAAAAGGCACGTATGGAGATCAAATACGTATAACTGGCGACCAAAAACAAAAAGAGAAGATGATCAATATTAATGATTGGAGCTAAGAAAGAAGAAGGAGGAAGTAGAAGTAGTAGTAGAAAAGGTGAGTACTGTCAGGTCCACCAAGCTGGGTTACAGCATCAACAAAACGCTCATGAAGCTCAACAGTCCATCTGAGGCGGGGCTTAGGATCAGTGGTGAGGACAAGGCCGGAATCTCCCTGAACACATGACATGGGCCTCTCATGCGAATTCATAGCTGAGGCCGGCTTCTTTGTATGGAACATTTTCTCTCTCCCGCACACACGGCTAGCTGCTGCCTGCTGCTGCCAAGAATGAATGAATGAATGGGGAGCGTACCGGGGGGCGGGTGGGTTTTTTTGGGAGATTCAGGAACAAGAACAAATGCCTGCAGGCATATAGAGGAGAGAAGAGAATATAGGTGCGGTTTTAATTGGACAAAGTGAACACGGCTTTCCTGCTTTCTGAAATATAGGAGTTACTACTACTTTGAAAGAAACCCCTGGACCCCTACTACGCAACGAAATCTTGCCCTATACTATACTGTAAGACAAAAAAAAAAAGGCAACTCGATGGAGCTACACCTGTTTAGAAAAAGAAAAAACCAGAAAATTACTAGACGGTTTTTACAAACACAGAAGATTAGCCTGCACTGGTCAATTTTTCTTATTCTTTGCTTTGGTCCACCTATGGTATTTGGCCTATATATCTAAAATGAAAATTGTTGAGAGTGGGTAGGTAATTGATGGCATTAGGCTTGAAGCTTTTGCTACTTGATCCTCATCGATCTCCGTGATTATTAATTAAGCTTCCATCTGCTTTAATGACAAAGCACTCAAGGACGTGATGATATAATGATGATACTACTACTGCTAATTACATACTCCTTTCAGTAAACGACCCAAAAGTTAGCAGGTACACAGATGTCTCAGACGTGCATGTTATTGGCTGGTGCGAGTAATATAATACTATGTACTCATGTCACTACTTAATGGAGTAGTATATACTA